TTCCTTCATTCCAAGTATGTCTTGGTAAATGCGATGTGTCTCTTGAAGGCAATATACAGATGGGTCTTGTTTTTTGATCCAAGCTATTAGTTTGTATCTTTTAATTAGAGAATTAAGACCATTTATATGAAGTGTTATTATTGAAAGGTATGTACTAATTCCTGACACTTTGTTGATTTTCTAGTGTTTAATTCATTTGTGTTTCTTGTTTATTTACTCTCCCAATGACATTCATTTTTTCCCTTGGAACCGTACTTGTCTTCACTATTACTATTTAGGAGTCTCTTAAGTAATTTCTGCAATGCTTACTTAGTGGTCATGAATTTCTTTATTCTTCTCATGGAAGTTCCTTTAATTTTAAAGAATAATCTTGGAGGAGACAGTAATCTCCTTTGGCAGTTAATCTCTTTTTTCTGGCCACTTTTAAGATCTACCACTTCTTGTATTCTGAAACTTCGTATCAGTCATATCTTACTTGTTTAGAATTTTTTGACCTTGCTTAACCTAAAGATGAATTTCAAAATTCTAGAATTCCTCAGTCACCTCGTTGTGTTTTTCTCTTTTCCAAGCAATTCCCAAAGACCATCTTGCTATTTCCTCCATGCCATTTAAGCAGTCTTCTGTCTTCTGTTGTCTTGTCTTTCTTGCTACATTCTTCTAATTTCCTTTTATCCTCTGATACACTCTGAACTTTCTCCAGCTGTGTTTAATCTGCTTATCTACTTAGTTCTGATAATCTCTCACGTCATCATCCTTTTCACATCCTGCAGTTCTTTAAATATATAAAATGCAATAATTTCTCCTTTTGCATTTTATATCTCTAATACCTGCATTGTTTGCAAGTCTAATTCTTTGCTTTGATGTACCCTGTCGCTAAGTTCAAATATTTCATTATATATTTAGTGATTCTTTTTAACGATCCCATGTTCACTGGAACTGGCTTGGTAAGATAAAGGCCTAAATTTAAAGTTCATATCTTTAAAAGAAATTTACCTACCTAGCACTCGGGCACAAGACCAACATATAATAGATATTCAATAAATATATTTAAAATGCATACAGCTGTTGTAGACACAGAGCATTCACTCCAAGATCCAGTCTCCTCCTGCTGTGAAGTGAGTATTTGAAACTGGATTGACTTCCATATTCTTTGAATTGTTACTATCTTTAGGAGCTCTAAGAATAGTGTAACATGATCCCTTTATCTGCTGCCTTGGGCTGACTCACCTGAAGGATCTCTTTTTTCATGACTTCTTCTGAGACACTTCCATAAGTCAGCCCAAACACCCTTAACACAGTGTGGTCAGAAGTCCTCCCTGCGTGTTTCCATCACACCTGATGTTTACCCCAACATAGTTTTTCACAGTGTATTTCAATTTATGTTTGAGCATTAAAGTACAAGTAACCTAGACTCTATTGCAACGTCTTACTTTGCGTCCCCTGCATTTATTCTGGTGTCTAGCTTGTAGCAGGTATCAATAAATAGTTTCCCATGAGTAAATGAAATAACTTTCAAAATATGCATCTTAAGTCCCAAATATTTTTATCTTCAATTTTTGGGCCTTTCTCTTTTATATCAGATCTCTCCAAAAACATCTGTTTGTGCTTGGGTTCTCAATGTCTAGTTCACAGTTGGTCATTTAAATTTACTCTTCTTAAATCAGTTTCTTCAGAGGTGAATTGGTGCCTTTAGCCAAAGAGAAAGAACTTTAGCACACAAATATTTTAAGACTCAAAACAATTTTATTGCTTTTGAAATGTGAAATGTTATTAGCAAATGAAAAATGGGATAACCATAACCATTCGCACTTTTACTCTAATTAACTATTATGTTTGTTGTATTCTAATTTATTGAAGAATTAAAGCTATTTCATAATCATTTTTCACTTCATTTTCACTCAAAGTGGAATCTTCAAAGAGCCATTAAAGTGCCACCTTAATTTCTTTGCCAATTTGTGGACATCATGACTCATATCAAGAAGCTCACCCATATCAAGATGCTTTGTATATGAAAGTTAGACTCCCCTGAGATTGTTTACCTCTCTGAATTTTCCCATGCAAGTGGACTCCCTGCCTCAGCAGGGTCTTTTGCTTTGATTATCTAAGTATACTTTGGAAAATATTTTTCAACATGTACTGTACAGGAAAACACCAGTCACTGTGGTAAATAGAATGGAGAAAAAGGTTGATACCAGGATGAGTAAGGCATGGCCCTGATCTTCACAGGCTTCTTTATCTAGAAAAGTAAGAGACAAATTTTCATATAGATTTGCCTCTGTGTCTGTGGATCTAACTACTCTTCATTGCTAATAGTTATTTGCCAGAGCCCGCAATATTGATTATGCCCAAAACATGCTGTAAGCAGTGCAGGCTGCAAAGAGTTAAATCCCTCAGTTGGCTTCCTTTAAGAAGCGAGTCTGTCTGAAGCTACGTGACTCACAGAAGCATCTCATGAGCACTGCGGTAGCTCCCAGGTCAACATGACCTCCCAGCTAACGGCCACAGCTGAGGCCAGAGTGATGGGCTATGAAGCTGTGGGGCTGATACGAGGTAACATCCGCAGCTGAGGTCGGAGTGATGCACCCAGACTCCATTCCCACAGTTAGTGCCTCCATACCTTGAAGGACAATGCTCTAATTGCAGCCATAGATTTTGCCCATCTTGCTTCTAATTTGAAAATGCTTTGACTCCTCTTTTAAAGCCTTGCTTTAAACTACCTTTCCAAGGTAATTTCACGTACTGCACATCTATACATGCACCTTTCCCCTGACTGATGAATAATAAAATTCAGTGGAGGAGACGGGCCAGGGCCTTTTGCCAAAGGAGCATGGGCCATCTCAGCTCACACTTTCCCTTGAACTCTGTCTTAAGTTTTTCTTCAACCTTGCCTGGCACACTGGTTCGTTGGGGACTAGAGACTTATGCAGGAGTCTCCAGCAGTTATTAAGCTTTATTATGTGCCAAACAGCTTCACTTTTCACAAGTACACAGTTTCCTCAGATTTACGTCCACACCATAATTACGGTACTATTAAGAAGGAAAAGGGCACTCATTAGAAAAATAATAATTTAGTCTTGATTGTAAGAGAGACTCAAAAATATCAAAGATGTAAAAATGAGACAAATATGGGACTTAGAGAAAAGAAAAGATATTAACTTAGTTTATCCTCTTACCTCTTCGAGTTAAGTAATTTACTGTTCCCAGTTTCCAGGCACGAAAACAGATGGGTTCAGAGATGATGGGTGACTTGCACCGGATTGCATCACTAGTAAACAGATGAGCCATGACTGAGCCTACACAATCTGATTCCAAAGATCTTGCTTGTAGCTTCTTTACCAGAGAGGCCTGACTTCTATGATAGCATGTCTAGGAGTTTCTCCATCTATCCTTCATCTTTCATGTGGCTTAATTTAATGTTGAACGAGAATACTAGAACCTCTATTAATTCTGGACAGCATTTGAGAATAGAGTTGCGATGAGAAACAATTTTCAAAAGCAAGCTGTTTTGAAAATTATTAACCTGAACATTGCTTTAATCAGTTAGGAAATTGTACCCAAATCAGTGATGAAATAGTTGAATTTTTAAATCTATGAATCTATAACTAACCACATTGCATATAAATGTAAATGTAATAGTCTTAACAGAATGATGGAAACTGGAAACAAATTTAAATTAACTTTTACTATGCATATAGACATCTGTTTTCCTATTCCTTTAGAGAGATAATTAGAAGTTAATGGAAAATATCAAAGTATCCATTAAAGTTCTTTTGGAGATTTTATAAAAAGAAGAAACATTTCTGTATAGGATGTTCAAATTTAATTCTAACATTACATGAAATGTTGCAGATAATCTTTATAAAGAGCCAAAAATGCTAACTCAAAGTACGAAAATTCATGTTTCGCTTTATGTAACAAGTAGCACAATCTATTTTTAAAAACCTAATGAGTTAAGAAATAACCATGTGTTACATTGTTTTCCCCTATAAATAATGAATTACATGTAAGAACAAGTGGTAGTTAAATATACCCAGGGCCAATTGCATAGTCGAGGATATCAGACTTCATCTGTGAAATTCAGCAAAATAGAATTAGAAGTGGCAAAGAGAAAAGATCTCATTAAGATAATTCTTCCAGAAATGAATCAAAACTTCAATCCCAGCTGTTCAAATCTTGTGATAGCTGAGTTGGACAGGGCTAAAAAAATTAAATTTATTGTTTTTCAAAGTATGGTACTACAAACACCTACATCAAAATATGCAGATCGCCAATGTACTTTCTAAAATTGCAGGCAGTTTTTACCCCTTTTCAAGAGCTGCCATATGAGGACCTATGTGAGTATAGCTCAAAGACCTATGTTTTATAAAAGCTTTTCCATCCACCAGTGGTTATGACCATGTTGGATTTGAGAAGCATTGTTTTAGCACTTGGCTCTTCTGCATCTACTATTTTGGACTAATGAAAAGAATGAAGCAAACACTAGTGATATTTTTCACCAAATATCAGACATTAAATGCCTCATTTACTAGATATTTATGATGCAGTGCAGGGGAACTGAAAGGAAATGGAAGCTTAAGTGTTCTGATATATGGCAATGCTGTTTAACATGATGAAATAGAAGTAATACTTTGTGGAGTCTAAATGATTGCAGAAGAAGGGAATTGAGGTAATCCTGAGTATATGCAGAGACAACTCTAGAAGTTATTTCTAGGAAAAAGAAATCAGTAGCATTCAGTTGCAAATTGAATGTAAAGGGTACACAGTAATGGGAAAGTAGACTATTTTAGGTTTTGCATCTTGGTAGCAAAAAATAATGATGACCTCACATGAGGATGGAATGTAAAAACTACAAGGAAAACAACTAAGAATAGGAAAGTGAGTCCTTTATAGCTGGCTCTTTCACCATTACATTTATCAAAAGGGTAACTTGAATTTTGTGACTGAATTTAAGTTGACTTATGAATGGATTTAACCAAATTGTGATCTATTTTCTATTCCAGCAATTGTTCAACTGTCAAGCTCTACGAAAATTAAGTATTCCTGATAATGACCTTTCAAGCCTGCCAACCTCCATTGCTAGTTTAGTTAATCTTAAAGAACTCGACATCAGCAAAAATGGTAAGATTCTCATCTTATCTCTAAATGTCTTGATTTTTTTATTCAAAGTATATTCTAATGGTTTTTGCTTGGGAAGTGATTTAAAATAACTTTTCTTTGATTTTGTTCAAACTGTAAATTAATTTTGTCAAAAAGTTAAATTAGGACTGAAAGACAAGGAACCTGTCTCTCTTCCTGTAAATACACCTGACTCAGCTTTATGTTCCTCTGCATTCAGATATATGATTTACCCTGTCTAGTATATCTCCTGTCTTTACATGGCCCATTATTCTCATTCTTAAAATATTTCCAACATATCTCAAATGTTACCTGTGTGACAAAACCTACCTGTTCACCTTACCTGAAATTATACTCTCAATTTCTCTTACTGGACTCCATTCCCCACCCCCCAGCACAAATCTCCTCATAATAATGAGAAGTTTATTTATTAGGATTATTATATATCTTCTCTTGACCCAGAATGTAAACTTCATCATGTGACAAGGGGGTTTATCCCAGACATGTCAAGCAGAGTCTGGTAAATGATCAGGGCTTATAGCATTTATTGAATTTTAGGGCCAAATTTATACATGATTTTGTTGATGATGACAGTGAGGTTCACGTTGAAGGGATTTCCTTCTGTGTTTGTGGGAGGGAAGTCTCCTGCATCCTCATTATTTCCTTGGGTCCTTCTTGCTTTCCACATGACCTCAGGTCTGCATTTGATTCAAATAAAGCAAAGATCGGTCAAAAAGGATTATGTCAGGTCAATGAGTGAAACTTTGTGGACAGGTGTGGCTATGGTTATCTCAGTCAGTATGCTCCATGGCAGGAGGACAGGCATGACCTAAACAAGGCCCTCTTGCATTCTGATGAGTGATTCAGACACTGAAAAATAATTACAGATAACTACCCAGTTGTGTGTAAAGATACATTCAGTGTGAAGGGCATGTATACACGAAAGATGCAACATATTCTATATGGTTAGGGAAGATTCCCCAAAAAGTGATAACCAAGCTCTGTGCACATGAGAAGCTAGGTCACATTGGCTTGATATTCTAGGTAAAGCTCCGTTTTGTTAAAGATCATCCTTGGTCAGGAGTAAATACGGCATCCCTAAGGAATCTGCTGCCTTACGGAGTGTCGTGACATAGCCCTGTGCCCTTGTCTCTTCATTCTGCCGGAAGTTTCCCGCACAGAGGTCTGCCTTGGGGACTGACCCAGATCCACCCTCCAGGGCTTCCTACTGGAAAGCAAGGCACTGCTGTTATTGACCAAAAGGGCATCAAGGCTGTGTTTTTATTTTCACATGAGAAACTGACACACCATATGTTGAAATTATTCGTTATCTGTACTGACTTCACTAGAGTTAAAATTCAGTGATGTTCCAAAGGTTTTGTTACTGTTGCTTTACTATTCTATTTCCATTGCCTCAGAAGAGTGAGGAACTTTGTAGGACATCAGTGAATATTCACCAAATGAATGGCTGGTTGTCACCAAAAAGTTTGCAGTGGCTCTGGGAGATAAGACTGACACCCACACATAATCAGTGATATCATAAAATACTACCCAACGAAGTGCTTAATTACATGGCACAAATTACAGTCCTAAGTCCTTAGAGAATGGGAATGTTAATTAAGCCTGCTATATTATTAGAAGAGTTCAAGTGTAAGATATTGTCTGCAGATTTCCTTGAAACACAATAGCATCTGTGTAAAGGAGAGCATTTGTTTGAAGAGGATAAGATCGTAAACAAGGAACAGAAGCATCTGTCTAGAACTGCTTACCTTTCTGCTCAATATTTTCAAGATAATCTTAGAAGAACCATATGCAGATATCAATGAGAATAGCAATTAGACTTAAATCCACTTAAAGATGACCTTGGGTCTACCATTATTCTTTAATAATAGATTTTCAGGCTACATTTTTCTATGGATTTGTATTTGTGCACTTACACATAATCACTGCTCTTTATATATTTATATACATGCATACATCAAATTCTACTTTGAAATTACAATTTCTAAGAAATAACATATGACCAAATACCACATCCCTTGACCTTCAGGTGGGTTTAGCTAGAAAGTCCAAGTAGATAAAAAATTGTGTTTTTTAAAAAAGAGGATCAGAAAACAATGTTTCACTAAACAAAAACACATAACTCCTGAGAATTATGATGTTTTGGAGCTCATGTAATAATCCCTGGTGGCCCTTTATGTCAAGAAATCTTTGTTTCCAGAATGTGAAACATGTTGCGCTGCATCTCAGAGGTAAACCTGTGAAATTATTATTCAGTGGTTTTAAGCTTTTCTTATTTTTCATTTTCAAAGAGATGGCAGGAGATGGTGAAACACTGCCATGCTAGTTCAACACCAATGGCTGATATACCAGCCTTCGCTAAATTAGCCATTGCTAGCCTAGCACATTAGCCATTGCACACCTAGCAAAGATCTCATCACATCGGCCCTTTCAGAAAGGTAGACCTGGAACAGATGAGACAGAGATGTGGGCAGTTACTGAACAAGCATGACGCATCTTTGGGGATCTGCCAAGTGAAGAAAGGACAGGTTACAGGAAACAGAAGCAGCATCAGCAGCCCAGGTGACAAGGTTGGAACAGTCCTGGTGGAAAAGAGGCAAGACCAGAGAATCCAAGCAGTAGGGGTATTTAATGAGAGAACATGGAATGTTTATCTTGAGATAGAGACTCATGTCACTTCTAGGCAAGTTAAGTAAACATGGACTAAAGTGCGCTTGAATTAGCAGGATGATCCCTTAATAAACTAGTTTCACGTAAAGGCTGAGGTTAAGTCTGACTTGGTTTTGCAGATAACCTCCCATCTTTATTTTTCAAGTCCAGTTCTTCCACTTTGTCATCCATTCACCACTTCCTCTATATAATTTTCAATACTATTTTATATTAAAACTTTAAGAACGTTATTAGTGTAACCTTTCATCTAAAGCTTTAACCACTTCTCAGGTTGGCCATGCGCTTTGCCAAGTGGCCATTCCCAGAGGTATCAGGCCAGTTTCTTCTTCCCCCAGGATTTGCCTTCTTCCCCACTACTGCACTCCATCACCTAGACACTTCTGCACCTTTAGAAAAGATACTTCCTTTATGAATCAAATGGAAAGAATAATTAATCAATTATTTATGAAAAGGAGGTATTTATTCTGAGAAACTTTCTTACACCTACGCAAAGAGAATAATTTTTTTCCTTTCTTTGTGATATCTGTTTACTTTGTTTGTGGTTTTGAACTTATCGCACTTTTGGTTTCTGTGTGTGTTACTAGACTGTGAGCCTACTGAAATCAGGTGCTATCTTAATCTTTTCTGTCTGCAGAGCTACTTGCACAATGGTCAGGATACATGGTAGATGTCCAATAACTGTTTGGCAGGTACACAACATTACATAGAAGCATTCTTTTTAAAAAATATAATGGTATTTTTATTAATACAGAAGATAGGGTGCTCATCTGTCACACTGGAAACCATCTAAATACTTGACATGAATGCTGGAAAAGATAGAAACAGCACTGCAGTAAGTAATGAGTAACCACTAAAACCACATCTAATCTGCCATATAGTAGTTTACTTGGCATCTTTGTTCTTTGAGATAATGTGCACTTCATGTCAAGTTTGGCCCCTTTCTTTAGCTCCAGACTCACATAACCAACTACTGTGCATGTTAGGCACAGCTGCAGTGTGCCCACAAACAGCCCAAACATAATATATTAACATCCGAACTCATCACTCACCCAACCCACTTCCCCTCCGTTTTCCAGTTCTCTGTTAATACTGCTATGATTTGCATAGCCATTGAATGTAAAAATCCTTTTCTCTTCCAACCCCTCGTCCATTCAGTCACCACTTCTTGCCATATTTACCACCTAAACATATCACAAGTCTGTTTCTTCATACCATGTCCATGGTTATAGTCATAATTGTAGTCCCTTTGTCTTTCCTCTGCTCCCTAAACAGCATTCTCATTGGTCTGCTTGTCTCCATTATTACCACAGCCATCAACAAACCCATCCTCCACAAGACAGCTTCCATGCTCTTTCAAATCTCTGATATGGCTGCGTGATTTTCCACATTAAGATGCTTCAGTTGGTCTGGAATAATGTTGGCTCCCTAACACATCACTCGAGGTCTCCACAACTGACCACTACCAACATTTCAACTCCAACACCAATCCTGCTAAGAATGACTGATCTTTTTTAAATTTAGGGTTGAGATACTGAAAAGCTTCCTCAACTATGTAATACTGTTTCATGATCAGTTTTATTCTACTCTACTTGTATTATTTCTGCTGCGTAAGTCTCCTTTCACACCTCACATTAGGTTCAAGTGTCTTTGTTCTCATGAAACCTCTGCACACCCACATTAAGTCCATGGTCCAACTTCTGGTCTGGTGTGCCTTGCATATTCATTCCAATGCTCATTATTACATTGAAAGCACTTACTACATATTTATATTAAAATATGTGTGTTTTTAATGTTTAAAGTATTACTATTTTAAGCATGAAGAAAATAATAGAGATACCAGTGTGTTTTATCCTGGAGATAAAAGTGTTAACATTTATTATACATGACACACTTTTTAAAATAAATAAGACATTACAGAAATTTCTAAGTGCTTATACTCACCCCTTACTGTGTGTCTCTCTCTCCCTCCCTCTCTCTCTCTGAGTTTAAAGTTCTCTCTCTGTGTTTAAAATTACAGTGAAGTACTAAGACATTACATAAATTATTCTGTAAGTTTTGCATTCCACATTGTCTTTCTGAAATTTGTCCTTGATTACCAGTGTAGATTTAATTGTACCAGCAGAAGTACCGATTCACATCGTTCCATATCCTCACCCGCAGTCATTAGATAGACTAAGTGATAGCCCATTCTGTGGATATGTCAGGTTAACTTGATCCTTTATATTTTTCTAAACACTAGGTTGACCTTTAGTAAATTTTTTATTGGACAATGTAGAGCATCTTTCTCTAAAAATTGTCTTTTTCGGTCTGTA